GATAGATAGATAGATAGATAGATAGATAGATAGATAGATAGATAGATAGATAGATAGATAGGATATAGATATAAATATAGATATAGATATAGATGATATAGATATAGATATAGATAATATATATGAAGATGATATATATGCAAGAAATCTGTTAAATTTCCAAGTTTTCCCAATCCAAATCAGAATTTTTGAGCCAAGGATATATTTCTGGAAATAATCCTGCCAGAAAATTTCTGAGGGGAAAAGACTTAGAAGAAGTAAATGTGACATAGAAAACACCATCACAAAAGTCCTTCATCACCATGGAAGATGGCTGTAATGATCTACAGATTCAGAGATCACCCGCTTAAGTATCAGCTCTTGCATTCCCACATATGACTTTTTCCTTTTTATTTCATGATTTATGTGATTCCCAAAGTGTGCCATTCTATCCAACCTGGGAGAAACATTGGCCAATACAAATCTGTACTGAAAGTAGTGCAAGATTGGAAGATGTGGAGTGACCTGGTCCATAGAATTGCCCAGAAAGGGACACCACTGAATGGATAACATTGTCATATCATCAATCTGAACTGGATAAAGTCTCTAATTAAAAACAAATACGGAATGAGCTTTCATATCACGATGTATAACAATTGTATTTCTGTATATCATAATTTTCATTGAAAAATATATTGGAAGAGAAGGAACTGGTGGAATAACATTTCATGGATGGGAAGCAAGAGTATCTATGTTCAGTATAATAAATGAGGGGAAACTGTGCCCTATTTCCCCAATACACATCTAATCTCCAAGCCATTAAGTGTTGTCAAATAAACAGAAAAGAAGAACAGTATCCATTTTTTGCATATCACACTAAGCCAGCATATTTAATTATGCTTTGTTGGACAAATTATAGGGGTCTGTTTTAAGCCACAATTGGGAAGATCACAAGTGGCATGAAACCAAAAACAGATGACATAAGTGCTGTGTGTGAGCTCAGGCAATATAATGGAACAATGAATCCATCATAGAATGGATACTTTAAAAAAAAATCAAAGCTGGAACTTGGAATATTAATTAGAGGCCAGTGGATGTTGATATCATTTAAAAATCTTAAGATCCAAATATTATAGAACTCTTAAGCATTATAAATGTATGATTAATTATTTTAAGCAGGAAGATTACCCTTTTAAAACTAAATTGTTTTCTAACAATTATCAGTATTGTTTCAATCTAAATAAATTAATATGCATATTGAAAATATGGTTGAGTCATTTCTATCAGGACTATTGAATATATTGATAATTTTACATAGATATCGTAATCAGTAGGCAATTGCTACACATGTGCACAACTCAGCAATGCAAAAGCTATAAATTTAGCTTTGGAAATGGATAAACTTGTATTTCCATTATTAACCCACATCTGAGTTTCATCCTTTCCTGTGACATTGAATCTCAGAAATTTTCCCTATATAATATTACATAAACATGAATCCAGACAAAGGGGAAAATGCAAGCAATTACCAACATTTTCTTCAATACCAGCATGGAGAATCTTTCTCAAAGAATTATGTTTTAAACCGCAGCACTGCCACAAAAGCCAATTCTTACATGGATTGCAATGAAAAATAGATTACCTTTAATTACTCAGTGAAAGTTTATAGTATTAGTAATTATGGAGGTACTCTTTAATATATGAATAATATAGGCAGATCAAACATCTAGATTCTGCTGCTATCTGACTGATTATTTAATCTAAATAATCAAGCAGATAGAATGATCTCATATTCAGATATTTCATGCAGTTTATTGTTTCACATTCTTCACATGAACTGTTTTAGGTTAAAAAAATTCATTGGATAGCAAATCTATCTGATAAATATTTAATAGGAATTTGCAATCTAGTACTATGTATTTGCTTAATCTAGTTCATTTTAGCACAAAATCTTTAGCTGAAGAAATTAGTTAACATTATTTATTTCAAAGGATTTCAATTAGGAGCAGAAAATCTGTGGGTTCTGAATGTTTCAAAACAACTAATCCAGTGATGAGCAATGCTGAATATTGCATTTTGGTGACATTGGGAAGACTACAAGTTCCCTGTCTCTGGTCTGGGGAATAATGCATTTAATAAAGTAATATATGTTTCAGTCACAAATCAGATGCATAGCAATGGTTCCCAATCATTCATATCTTAAGTTCCATCAATCACTTTCAAAGAACCTGGGTTTCATTAAATTAAGTGTGCCCTGTTTCCCAGTTTAGGCAGGTGAATGGCTTCCCATCTAAACTACTATTGAGTAAATACCACAAAGGTATTTGTTTCAATCGCATAATAAACACGATGCTGTATGATGTTTCTTGAACTTGATGTAATTCTATTTGTTCTCCTTGTAATCAAGGAACACGCAAAATTGGAGAAGTATATTGGAATTGAGTTTTTCCCCACTAAATTATTGCAGTCTTACATGTGATACAGCACACCCTCAACAACACAATCAATACACTTTGTATATACACTGCTCAAAAAATAATGGGAACACAAAAATAAGACATCCTAGATCTGAATGAATGAGATATTCTTATTAAATACTTTGTTCATTACATAGTTGAATGTGCTGACAACAAAATCACACAAAAATTATCAATGGAAATCAAATTTAGCAACCCATGGAGGTCTGGATTTGGAGTTACACTCAAAATTAAAGTGGAAAAAAACACTAAAGGCTGATCCAACTTTGATGTAATGTCCTTAAAACAAGTTAAAATGAGGCTCAGTAGTGTGTGTGGCCTCCACGTGCCTGTATGACCTCCCTACAATGCCTGGGCATGCTCCTGATGAGGTGGCAGGTGGTCTCCTGAGGGATCTCCTCTCACACCTGGACTAAAGTATCCCCCAACTCCTGGACAGTCTGTGGTGCAATGTGGCATTGGTGGATGGAGCGAGACATGATGTCCCAGATGTGTTCAATTGGATTCAGGTCTGGGGAACGGGCGGGCCAGTCCATAGCATCAATGCCTTCATCTTGCAGGAACTGCTGACACACTCCAGCCACATGAAGTCTAGCATTGTTGTGCATTAGGAGGAACCCTGGGCCAACCGCACCAGCATATGGTCTCACAAGGGGTCTGAGGATCTCATATCAGTACCTAATGGCAGTCAGGCTACCACTGGCGAGCACATGGAGGGCTGTGCGGCCCCCTAAAGAAATGCCACCCCACACCATTACTGACCCACTGCCAAACTGGTCATGCTGGGGATGTTGCAGGCAGCAGAACATTCTCCACAGCGTCTCCAGACCCTGTCACATATGTCACATGTGCTCAGTGTGAACCTGCTTTCATCTGTGAAGATCACAGGGCACCAGTGGCAAATTTACCAATCTTGGTGTTCTCTGGCAAATGCCAAATGTCCTGCATGGTGTTGGGCTGTAAGCCCAACCCCCACCCGTGGATGTCAGGCCCTCATACCACCCTCATGGAGTCTGTTTCTGACTGTTTGAGCAGCCACATTCACATTTGTGGCCCGCTGGAGGTCATTTTGCAGGGCTCTGGCAGTGCTCCTCCTGTCCCTCCTTGCACAAAGGCGGAGGTAGCGGTCCTGATGCTGGGTTGTTGCACTCCTACGGCCTCCTCCACGTCTCCTCGTATTTCCCCATTACTATAATATTTTAGTGAACAATGTCAATGTTGGATTATTTTCTGTGAATGTTCCCTTTTTATTTCAACTGTTGTCATTATTATTGTTCCAATATGATAGTTACACAATGGTTACAATGAATGCTTTAATCTAAATGTATCATATTGTTTTCTCAAGCTAGTAAAGTAATAATAAACAATCTAAATGTATCATATTGTTTTAATTAAATGTATCATATTGTTTTCTCAAACTAGTAAAGTAATAATAAACAACCATAGCAAAAACCTTTTACTTAATTAACTTATTTTCATGTATTATTATTTGTTAATCAAATATTTTAAAAAAATTGAACTAACAAAAGATTAGCTTTCCTGTACCTTGGGATGTTCCAGAATGATGAGAAATCATTTCTTTCACAAACATTAAATAGCTGATATATTCTATTGTAGAGAAACAGACTGCATAGTTTTATATTAGGGGCTTTCAAACTATGTCCCCAAGTATTCTGGGTTTGCTTGGAAATTTGTCAGGGTCTTATCAGTGAGATTCTTCACAATACAGATAAACCTAGATTATACTATGCATCAGCAAAAGAGCCAAAATGTGCTACATAATCTTGTATGAGCATTTCAATTAAATGTAGGAGAAGTTCTTTAGCATACTCCTTAAAGGGCAAAAGACTGCCAACACATAAACATTTAAAAATCATTGATTTATTTGAAATTGTTGAAGTAGTGAGAGAGTACCTTCATAAACCTCTATGCAGTCCTTGAATACAAATCTAATGGTTATTTCAGTACTATTTCAGAGATAATAACATTTGATCCCTCTATCAGAAAGCAAAAGATTTCCTTCTTAAGACAGCCCATCCAATTTAAAAAGTATGAAGCTACCTGAAAAAATATACAAGAAACTATCTGACACAGAGTTTGTATCTAAGAAATTATCAGCTTCAGAAGTACTCCTGACTTGAAGAAATAAAGATTCAATATTGTCTTTCCAAAATATAAGATTTCTAACAGTGGGGAATCAAAAATTTGATATCATTTCACTTTTCTTTCTTTTCTTAACAGAGTATTAATGCCATTTATTCCTCTGGCTCCTAAATGCTTATATCTGAAAATTCCTACAAAAGTTGAGAACAGCTTGAAGGACCTTTGAAACAAAATGATAAAATACAGAATTGGCTTTTTTATTTTAAAAACATTCTGAAACACACATACATACATATTCACATGTACAGCTTTTGTCCTGAGGTATTTATTTATTTATTTATAAAATATTGTAATTATAACTTACACAATATTATATTTCATGCAGGATGATTCCTCACCTACCTGACTCTCTGGAAATTTGTATAAAAGATTCCATGCCTTTTTCACCATAGCTGCCTTCAGAAGCCAAGGTGGAAACATAGTTCCATCCCAAAGCTCTCACAATGTCCACCATTGCCTGTGCTTGGAAGGAATCTGGAGGAACAACCCGTGAGAAGAAATCGTAGCGCCGGTCATCACTTAACTCTGGTGCAGTTGAAGCATAACTGATTTGGGGTATCTATAGGGAAAAAGAACAGTTAATGGGACTTATGAATTGATAAACTCAACATATGTACAACACAATTAGTTTGAGCCGCAATACAATTAGCCTTCCAGATGCTCCTCTGTTACTTTCTATCTTCATCAGCCCTTAAGTGAAAGTCAATGAAGCTATCTTTCAAATAATTTTCATCACAGGTATACTAATTGTTAAGTATTATTTCTATCAGCCTTGAACCCCAAACTTTCATTAACTTGTTTTTAATCAAGGATGCATTTACGTATATGCCTGGATTTAATTGCAGATAAAGCTGAAGTAAATGCAGCTGCTGAAGTACTGCGTGAATTGCCCCTAATGTTTAAACATCTGTAGTGATTTGATATTTGAACTTCCTCAGGCTACTGTATGCTACCATCATTTTGCACTGGTTATCATCCATTTCATTAATAACCATTGTTTACAATAACAATAAATCCAATTAATCAGACTCTACCATCTCCATCATGATGCCTCCCCAAACTCCAGTCATTTAGTGAGGTAGGACAACTTCAAGGAGCAGTTTGATTCTTAAATAAGAAAAATGAGTTGCTTACTGAATACTTTTCTTTTGGATCAGGTAGGAAAGTGGCACTGGGATGTACAAGCAAAATTCCAAAGTGCTTTAAATACAATAAATGGGGCTCATTTACTTTTACTGAAAAGAGGAAGCCTTCATCCAATAATATTTTTTTCAACAATATCCCTATGCCACAAATTTCTGAAAGATTCCCTGAATATTTGAGATATAAACAAAAAAAAACAAAAACCTAGGAAATGGAGAGGGAAGATCACTGCCATACTTCTACCATTAATGTATTTTTAGTTATTTAAAACATTTATGTGATTGCTTCTCTTCTAACCAACTCTACCAACGTTAGGGATGGGATTCAAAAATCCAGCACCTGGTTCACTGCCCGGTTGCTGGGTGGATGTGGCCATAGCCTACTGGAACTTCTGGGAGGGCCATTTTTCACCTTCCCCAGGGTCCGGAGGCCTCCCTTGAGTCTCTGGGAGAGTGAAAATGGCCTCCCCCAGGGTCCAGAGGCTCTCCAGAAGCCAGAAAGAGGCCTGTTTGTGGACTTCTGGAAGGCCCATTTTTCGCCCTCCCAGAGCCTCCACGCGGACCCTGCACTTACCTGCATCCAAAACAGGCTGCATGGAGACTCCTGGGAGGGAAGGGGTGGGGTGAGCAGGGCCAGTCGGTCAGTTCAACTACCGGTTCGGTGAACCAGATGTAAATTTAACATCCGGTTCACCCAAACCGGTCCAAACCTGCTGAATCCCACCCCAGTGTATGTATGTATGTATGTATGTATATATGTATGTATGTATGTATGTACGTATGTATGCTAACTAATAAATCCCATTGGATTAATTGCTCCTGATTCCAAGTAACAAATCAAACTGTTTTTCAAATTTATATTTAAAAAAACCATCTAGATTAACAGAATATTTTAACTGCTTACCCAGGGGCTAGATAAACTTGTTAGAAGTATACATGATTAAATTGTTACAAAATCACATTCAAAACTTTAGGTCTTTTTTTTTTTTACTCTAATTGAAAAAAAGTGAATATAAGTACAAATAGCATCGAAGACTGCAAAAAATATTATCATACTTTTAATTTTTTTCTCTTGCTTTTCTCATTTTGTTCCAATACATATTGCAGCTTTGTTGTCTATTTTTTATCATCTCTATTTTCTGATGATCTCTATTGCAGAGGTGGTATTCAGCAGGTTCTGACTAGTTCTGGAGAACCGGTAGCAGAAATTTTGAGTAGTTCAGAGAACTGGCAAGTACCTCCTCTGACTGGAGATTTTACAGTATCCTTCCCCTGCAATGTCCACCAAGCCACACCCACAGAACCGTTAGTAAAAAAAAATTGAATCCCACCACTGGAGCATTGCCATTCCTAGGTACATAGTCATCAACTTAGATTACAAAGCAAACAACATCTGCTCAAGTCAGTCTTTTCTTTAAAAAAAACTATGTTTACTATAAGTCTGGTTCATTCACTAAATTCGGTTCCTGAATAGTCGGGTCACTAATGAATTATAATCTGCCAATTTGTTCCCAAAAGAATGTTAAATATCTGTAAATAAACAGGCATATTTGTAATAAATATAAATCTGAAAGACAGTCTTAGGGAACCTGAAATTTACATCTCCCTGGGCATTAGATTATTGAACTACTGTGGACTTTGCATGGTCAGCTCTCAAGGGCCTTTTGTCACAGAAATGACACCATTGTTGTCTGTATAAACTTGCACATTTATTGAAATATCTATCCATGTTTCTGATGCTGAATTCAGATGATCTCTGTATCTCAGGCAAAACATGCATACTCATGAAGGTAACAGAGATAACCCAAAGTGGTAAAAGAGGAGAAGCGGGGAGGGTGAGTGAAATAAAAGTTTTGTCAAACTTCCAAGTAGGCACAAATTAGGGTTAAACTCCCCAAAGATTTCAACAATACTATTAAAACTAAATATTTGTTTTATTTCTGAAATGGTCAACTGTCAGCTTTCCACCTAACCAACTGCATACCTATATATTCCAAGACAATGAGTTCCTTAAAGTTCTACTTTATTAGAGATGTCATATTGGTACATCTGGAAAAACCTGAATCGGAGAGTTCCGGGTTTTCCGTTCCCAAAAGAGAATTCAAAGATCCATCTCCTGCACCCATCAATTCATCACATGGTCCAATCAAATATTTGTCCCAACTGGAGACATTCCCCCAGCCACTCCTCTCCAGGTACAGGGCACCATGTCCTTGACTCTCTGAGAAAGAATGTTGTTATGTCTAATTTTCTATCCCACTATGAAATGCCCTTTCCCAAATTCCCAGGCACTGAATGTGGCAGCCTCAAAGCTTCCAAGTAAAAAATGGCTTCCAAGGCTGACATCAATTTTGCAAACTGTTGACAACTATTGATGGTGAAACAGGACATTTCTAGTGGACATCTAACACTCTCCATGTAATGGAATGATTTATTTATTTGTTTAATTAAACTTGTTTTCTGCTCACCTGGCAACCACAAATAATAAATAAATTTGTATTTAATTGATCAATATTTAACATCCATTTCTCAAAAGCACTCATTTTAATGCAGTAGGTCTCAAAAATTTTCTGTATCAGTTATCCCCCTTTCCTTATCTTAAATAATGTAAAAACCATCACAAAAAAAGAATCCAGAATAAAGTGTCTCTGTCGTGATGGCCCCAAATAGAATCCTTGACTTACAAACAAACAATTACACATTGTTCATTACCTCCGCTATCTGTCCAAATGACCCCAATTTAACAGGCCCTGCATTAATGGTGTTTTGCATGTTTCTGAATTCCATGCGACTTAATGGAATCCTGACTGCAAAGAGGCTGAATTCGTTTGGAAAATGTGTATGTTGTGATATTGTACTGACTTAAGGATAAGTAGCAGCAGAAAAGAGGCTAACCCAGATTTGTTGCCCTTGCAAAAAAAAAAAAAAAAAACAATAGAAGCATCTACCCCAGGGCTGTCAAACTCACATCATCACAGTGGCGTCACATGATGTGTCAGGGTTTTTTTTTTTCCCTTTGGTAAATTGGGGAAAAAAATTGCACTGGCACTGGTTGTGGCCAATGCAAGATGCATCCAGCCCACAGGCCAGGAGTTTGAATGCCCTGATCTACCTTGTTTTCCACTTCACTAAGTTTTTCTTTCTTTGAGTGGACTTACTATGGTCAGATTACCACTACACTACAACTACAAACTACAAGTTGTTTGGGGAGGAAAGATAGGTTGAGAAAAAAGGGGTTGTGGAGAGTCTGAAAAATAAAGAATTGAATGTAGCATACAAAACACTTATGGTCACTATCTTTGTTTCACATGCATTGCTACTGGCAAGTCCACTAAATATTGTTGCTACAATGCTTCCCTAACTTCCCTGAACTCTGGCTGAATTTGTCTGCTGTGAAGCCATATATTACTACATCAAATTTACATGGAACAAGTCATGGATATCAAGTCTAGTACAGGTACTCCTCAAGTTACGACCATAATTGAGCCCAACATTTATGTTGCAAAGTGAAACATTTGTAAAGTGAGTTTTGCCCCATTTCTTGCCTTTCTTGCCACAGTTGTTAAGTGAATCATCGAAGGTTAAGTTAGTCAGATGGTTGTTAAGTGAATCTGGATTTCCCATTGATTTTGCTTGTCAGAAAGTCGCAAAAGAGGATCACCCGGAACATTGCAACTGTCATAAATATGAATCAATTGCCCAAATATATGAATTCTGATCACATGACCACAGGGATACTGCAATGGTCACACAAAGTGTAAAAAATGGTCATGTCACTTTTTTTCAATGCTGCTGTAGTTCTGAACAGTCACTAAATGAACTGTTGTAAGTTGAGGACTACCAGTACAGATTTGCAACATATTCACCATGTGAAATTAGAGAATCTCCATTGCAACCAGTTATTATAATCCTCATAAAGTTGGCTGGTAGGTTTAAAAAAACCACCTTATCCTCAGTTGATTCTGGTTAGTGGAAGAATGCCTTATTAGTGAGGTCAACCCATTCAACCCATCCTACTTCACATAGATGAGTAAAAATAGATCAGCTTTTAATCTAGGAGTGCTGAAATGTAAATTAATTAAGATGTGATGCTTTTAAACACACACACACACACACACACACACACACACACAAATTTAATATTACCTTTTTGGCATATCATTTCTAACTTTTCTTTTGTGTTTCCTTCTTTCCAATGAAGAACAAAATTTAGAACATGTGGGTGAAGGATAGGGACAATAGAAAAATGAAACAGACATGAACAGAGAATGAGAAGGAACATTATAAACCAAGATAAACCTGATAGGGGATTTAGCTTAACATATAATAATTTAAAGAGAAAGAGGTTGCTTCCAAATTGACATAATAACAAAATCTGGCACCACCATTTCTTACTGAAAATAAAGGAGAAGGCAGC